TCCGTTTGGATCAGCGAGTGCTTCGATTACTGGCTCCAGCTCTACCTTCCTACGGAATCACCGCCCACTATGCCCAGGAGTGTCCAGAAAACCCCGAGATTAACCACGTTACGGTGGTCTGCCTCGAAAGGAAGAACTTTGGCGTGCTTTTCGACTACGTGAGTACATTATTTCTCTTATTCAGTGATTCAAACCAACCACCTGCTGTGTTATATTAGTGCTTAATGAACGACTGCTCACTTTGCCCTGCAAAGCTAAGCCACGTTCAAGGAAATAAACAAGATCTGAGGCGTGCTCTGGGCGCGATCGACGCGCTAGACCCGCCTGCAACTTTGGGGATGGGTGCTGTTGGGTTCTATTCTGGAGAGCCATGGGGGGGTATTTGTGCCGACGTGTCTTCAGGGGCAAGCGTCCAAAGTTGTGGTGGAGACAATGCTCTACGTGCTGGTGAGACACAATGAATCATTCAACATGTTTCATGACATTCTCAGACTGTGACATAATCTAGGACAGGCATCCGCCGCTCTCTTTGCCCCTCATATGGGATGTACTCGACAACGAAGATCGAAATATCCTTTTACGACTCAGCTTCTTCGCGGGCTCAATGAGTGGAAGAGTCATGAACAGCCACTAGGGATGTCATTTGATCTCTTCAGTGTCGATGCCAACGCCTTCATCCCCGCCTGCTTGCACGTGGTGCCCTTCCGCCTTCCTTTCCCTCTCAAACATGTCCCCGTCTTTAAAGAATCGAACGTAGCCCTCACTGAGGATGCGGGGGACTATTCACGCGGTCTCAAGCCCCTCGTACCGATGTGTTCTATGACGGCGAGTTTCATGGCGTTCGATTTCGTCTGGCCAATGGATGTCCCGCAGCGCCGTCAATGTCTGAAGGCGGACTGGCACATCGAAGATCGAGGGAGCTCCGACGGCACAGTAGCCGTGCGACCGCTTATTGGGGAAGAGGACTGTACCGTTCAGGATTTGCAACCGGTTGCCAATGCTCAGGACAGCACTCGGAGGTGGAGGCTGGGACAGGGCAGGCGCATGGTGAGGCTCAAGCGGCGGGAGCGAAGGATGACAGGGAAATTTCGGAAATTCTGGGATTTCAGCTTGACGGAAGAGAAATTACTCACGTTGACGTCCAGGAGGAGGTGGAGATTTGGGAGATCCTCTCAGAAGGCTCTCTGATACCATGCGAGCTGTGAGTAGGCTTGAAAATGTTATTATATATTTCAATTGTGCTGCAACGATGTCCGTGAAGTGTCACAACCTCCAAAAACCACAGCTCAATTGTAATACGGACCCATATCTTGACTCTCTGATTTCCTCCAATAGCCTACATCGGGCGGAGGGCCCGGTGCGATGCCAGTGTGGCTTAGGCGCCCTAACGGTGAGAGTTTGCTTCAAATCGGTTTCAACATCTTTAAACGTGTTGACAGCGCTCTTCAGACTGCCCTAAGCATATCCTCTCCCCACACCTCTATCCTAATATGCCTACGCCTCGAAATGTTGACGAACGCCTATTCAAGATCTTTGCACTCACTGTAACGACAACTCTGGATGAAGTCTGGAGCACATCACGCCATGCAACTTCTGCGACAAGATGGACCATGTTACAGTCGTCTGCCTGGAAAGGGACAACTTCGGTATGCTGTTCGACTATGTAAGTACTTCCTCAGTACTTTATCAACCAGGGTGGCTGTCTGAGTTCTCGCCCTCAATCAGTGTCTTATGGACGGAACGGATGTCTGCCCGATGGAACTCAGCAGTACCCAGATCGATACAGAAGACAGGGAACTCATGGTGGAGGCCGCCAATCAGCCGCATGACCCTCCTCTGAAGTTCGGCGGATGGGTGTTGATGGGTGCTGTTCCCGAGTGCTACGAGGATTGGAAGCGGTCGCGTCCTCTGCTAAATTACCAGTGGCCTCCCTACGTTGCGGAGACACAGGGGCCACAGGGACGGGCCGCGTTAGTAGATATTCTCTTTATGTGAGGTGCGTCTCCAACGTATTTCATAGCTAACGTCTACTGACTGACGTCTTTGGGGATGCATAGGACGCATTACTCCCCGTTTCCATCCCCCTCATAGGGATCATAGAGCCCACCGGGTTTGCAATCAATATACCAGGTCCGGAGGAACAACCCCTGCTTGTTCAGCCCATACCGGGGCTCAATCCCTTTAAAAACCCACGACCGCCCACGCCGAGCTATGACCTGTACAACGCGGCATCCCAGACGTTCGTACCGGCGGACATGACAGACGCCTTTCCTATCCGCCTGTCCCTCCCCCTCGACCACGTCCTATTATTAGGGACTACGATGTTGTAATGACAAAGTACGTGAGAAGCTACGCCACGGGACGCAAAACCATGGAGCCTATGTCCTCGCTGAAGTACAACTTCATCGGCTGGACTTTATCTGGCCGGTGGGCCTCCCAAATCACAGGCAGTACAAGGAGGATACCTGCCAAAGCGCTCTACTCCCACTACGTCTATCCACAGGAGTGCCGGCGCAGCCTGAAGAGGACGAGTTCGTGGTGCGAACGCCCGGGGTAGCGCAGACAAAGGAGGTAAATTTGGAAAAAAGAAGACGAGGCAATGGACTTAGACATAGAGGGAATGTCTGACGAGGACGCTGAATTGGAGGGGGAGCCACTCTGGGAGCTCGATTCTGATGGTACTGAATTATTCTTCCGCCAGTTGGGACGATTCTTGCGGTGTCTCGGTTTCTCGTATACTTGTCGCCCAGTGAATTGAATGTTTCTTTGGTGTACTATATAGATACCTCCTCTTACTACACAATCCATTGTAATACTCGTTAAGTGGGACGAAATCCATTGTAATACTTGTTAAGTGAGAACGAATGTCTTGTGAGCTACGGAACTCATTACAACTCGGTGTGGCTCGTTGTGGCTCCGGCGCTCAAAGGCCAGGCGCTGGCTTATTCCTTGACGCCACTCTCAGAGCTGTGGACTGTATCCTATTCTCTCCACAACCTCCGTCCACCATGTCTACTCCACTTCCTGTCGACCAAGCTCTTATCGCCATCCTCGCTCAACACGGACCGCGATTCGAAGAAGTGTGCAAGCATTCGCGAGAGTGCACTACGTTCCCCGCGATCGACCATGTCGCCGTGGTGTGCTTGGAGAAGGACCATTTTGGTATGCTGTTCGACTATGTGAGTAGTACAGGTCCATGCTAGTCATATTCTCGAGTCTGATTTGTCCCCTATATAGTGTGTAATGCGCGACGACGCTGCTTGCCGAATGAAGCCCAGTCGCATCCAGTCGACTCCAAGAACGACAGCTTATATGCTCCAATGCGCGAAGAAACTCAGACGCCCTCCGAGGTTTGGCGGATGGGTCTTCATGGGAGCGTTGCGCAAGTTCTGGAGGGAGAGCAACAGGTTTCATCCTACTCTATCTCTGTTGAGGCCCAGCGACGCATGGGAACAGGGGCGGACAGCACTGGTGGAGGCACAGGTTTATGTCATGGTGCGCAGCGAACGTCTTTGAACCACCTTGCAATACTGAAATACATGTTTTGGCGATGCACAGGATGGGTTCTTGCCCGTTTCTATCCCCCTCATTGGGGAGATCGACACCGCTCGGTCGGAGATAGTCATCCCAGGGCCTTTCTCGCAGCCACTGCTTTGCCAGGTCATCCGCGATTTGAACTACTTCAAGAATACGGATGACGACGCCATCACCAACCTCGACCTCTACGACCCGTCCCAGCAAACGTTCAACCCGTCGCTGACAGACCCGACGTTCCCCATACGCCTGTCCCTTCCCCTTACCACCGTACCCATCTTGAAGGATTCGAACGTAAACATGACCATCCTCGTGATAGATCACGCAGCCGCGCGAAGAGGAAGAACGGAGCCTATGTGCTCAATGAAGCATGACTTCATGGAGCTAGACTGGGTCTGGCCGGTGGGTCTTCAAGACGGCCGCGAGTATCTGCAGGGACAGTGGAGCGTCATGCAGATGCCGGATCCCATGGGTGTGGTTGCAGTGGGGCCACGACCTGGACAGGCCGGCAGTCAGGTGAGACTGGCAGTCGAGGGAAGAGAAGTACGGCGGGAGGAAAGTGTGACAATCCGGCATCGGATGGGGGCTGGATCGCTTTAGAGTCGGACTGGGACAAAGTTGCAGGAACGGCAGAACGTGAGGAGATGTTCTGGGGCTGAAAGTGTGTACTTTGTAACGTCTACTATTCCATTGCTTGTAATCCATTGAGCTACTAGAGTTTTTTTCGGATCGGATGGATGGTTTATCCATAAGAAGACTGCCCTTTAGGAAGGTTACAGTCGCACCGAAGCACTGAACTGATGTGCAGTCTCTTCTGGGCACAGAACTGGTTGAGCACGGCGTGTGTGGCTTCAGCGCCTAAGTGTGAGAATCTGCTTCAAACGGATTTTTCGCGCTTCAGACGTGTTGAAGGCGCTCTTAGTCTCTCAAACACATCCCATTCGTCTGAAACTGCTTGACGATCTCCAACAAATCCCACCCGCTCTCTACCTATTCCGTTCCACTATGCCTACACCCCGCAATGTCGACGAACGCGTCATCAAGACTATCAGCGAGGTTATGGAGTTCGGATTCGAGTACTACTGCGGCTCGTCATCACCATGCAGCCGCTCCCCAACATAGACCACGTCACGGTGATCTGCATGGAGCGGTTGCATTTTGGGGAATTGTACGAATACGTGAGTTGTTCTCCACAACGTGCCTGGCTAGGCGTTGTCTCATGGATCACCCTTTAGTGTCTTCTGGGCGACGACTCTGGCTGCCCCATGCGTTTTAGCCCTGTGCAAATCGAGCCAGATAAGGTTGAGAGAATGATGGAACTCACCCTCAAGCTGCGTGATCCTCCCGCCAGGTTTGGCGGATGGGTCTACATGGGTGCAATTCCGGACTTTTACGTGCGTCCGGAGTTGTGTCCTCTTTTGCACCAGGCGTGTGCGAGCGAGCGAGAGGGGAGGGGCGGCTGGCGTCGGTAGAAGCACTGTTTATGTCGCAGTGCGTAGAGAGTCTTGCCATGTTTGTCCAGTACTAACAGACATCGTTGCGTTAACGTACAGAACGGGAGAACCCCCATTTCCATCCCCCTCATAGGGGAGATAGACTCCACCGGGATGGTCATTGACATACCCGGTCCCTCAACCCAGCCGCTCCTGATCCAGGCTATCCCTGGGCTAAACCGCTTCAAGGGGTCGCCCCACAAGCCCTGGGCGACGTTCGACCTCTACAGCCCAGCGTTGCAGACGTTTATCCCTGCCTACATGAATGACCCGGACGAGCATCCCATCCGCAAGCTTCTTCCCCTCGACAGCATCCCCGTTTCAAGGAGTCGGAAATTCAGAAAACAATCAATGTGCACGACTACGCGACTGGAAAGGAACGGACGGCTCCCATGTGCTCCATGAAGTACGCTTTCATGGGGCTCGACATCATCTGGCCGGAGGGCCTTAAAAATCCCCGCCAGTATGTGGAAGCGGCCTGGAGCGTTGTTCCACCGCCGCCCCAGTCTCCCAGGATGGCAACTCGGCCTCGACCTGGAGAGGAGGGCTGCGTGGTGAGGTGGGGAGAACAGCTCATACAGAAGCGCGGAGACAACGGGGGCAAGAACAGCGAGTTTGACTCCCACTCAGGGTCAGGGATAGAGGACGAGGACGAGGCTGATTCTGAGCCTGAGGATGAACCGCTCTGGGAGCTCGATTCTGATGGATACTGAAACGTTGGTTGGTTGCCACTGTAATGGGACTTTTTCTGGTTCATTAGTTGCTACGTGTTTTTCTGAGCTGTACGGTTAATAAAGTATCTTCTATCTACTCTATTTATGCTCGGTGAAACGCTTCCGAGTCACTGAGGAAGGCTCTGCACCGAGGGCCACAGAACGCATCGCGACGTGAGCGCTTAGTGTGGGAACTGGTTCAAACGTCTTCAAAGCGCTCTCAGACGTCTCTCTGCTGTCCCAACACTGGCCACCACTCTTCCAGCACCATGTTCCCCTTCCCTGCTATTCGCTTGACCCTCGCATCATCAGCTGTCTATACCAAGGCGGCCTACCTAAGTTCGAGGACGTATGCATGAAATCGAGGCGGTGCCATATATGCTCGACTATTAACCACGTCACTGTGGTCTGTTTGGAGAGAAAAACGTTTGGGTACCTGTTCGATTATGTGAGTGCCGTATCATGCTCCTTGTGCTTTTGTCTAATGTTGTTTTTGTCCAGTGTTTGATGTACGCACACTGTCCATGAAGCTGAGTCGTGTGCAACCCGACATCTACGCGAGGTACGCTATGGCCAAGCTTGCCCGGGAGAAGAAGGTGGAATACGGCGGGTGGGTCTTTATGGGATCTGAGCCGGCTCTGTATTCGAGCATGGCACGGCCCATTCACTTGACCCATCTGGGGCCGCCGGAAATTGCGCTACACTGGCAGGGGCGAAAGGTACTGGTTGAAGTGTGGGTTTACGTTTCCGTAAGTTTGAAACCTCTTGGGACCTAGAAGCAGTACTGACAAACGCATCTGGGCGATGGACAGGTGGCATACCAACCCGTTTCCGTCCCTCTGATAGGGGAGCTTGACGAGGACGGGAAAAACGTCGTTATCCCTGGAGTATCCGAGCAGCCACTCCTCCGCCAACTCCTGCCGCTGTTGAACTGGGAGTTCACTGGCGAAATCGAAGGCCACGACATGGGCTTTGATAAGTACGACCCGTCCCTCGAAACGTTCGTTCCATCTTGGATGGAGCCTACATTCCCCATCCGCCTCTCCCTTCCCCTCACCAACGTACCCGTGCTCAAAGCGTCATACGTCAAGATGACGACATTTGTGTGCAACTACGCGGAGGGAAGTCAGCCGATACTCCCTATGTGCTCCATGAGGCACAAATTCATCAACCTCAAGTGGATCTGGCCAGTAGGCCTTCCACGTCGTCGCGAATACGTGCAGGCGAGGTGGCACACGGTGAGGGAGCCCGTTCGAGGTTTGATTGCAGTGCGGCCAGACATTGGGGAAGCAGGATGTCGAGTTACGGTAGCACCAGAAGGTTTTGACAACACAGGCCCTGGAGCCTACTGGGGTGAAGATGTAGGCGCGGCGACAGTGTCATCAGATGAAGGTGCATCGGATGACGGCGACGAGGACGGAGAGCTGTGGAACTGATTGATTACATTCCTGGGACTGTACTACTAGTAGTTGTTTGCACCGTGAATGGTCTGTAACTGTACAATGTATCGCATGTTGTCTCCGCGTGCGTGGTATCGTCTGATGGCTCGAGAATGGTATGTTTGCAGCCTACCAAAGTGGAACTTAATGTGAACAGAGAGACTTCACAGTATACCCGACGCGCCTAGAAACTAGTTTACGTGACATAACTTCGTTTAAGAGGCATTTCACAAAGAAAGGTGTACCATTAATCTGTCTGAATGGCGTATAGTTCCCTGAAACACCTCTCAGACATGTTGAGCTTGGTTCAGGTGTGTTTGGAATTCGGTCAATCTGTTTGGTGACCACAGTGTTTTTCCTGATGCCACTGATAAGTCACGAGCTCCGGACTCCCGAGGCTCTTCGAAGGAGCGTACCGTGCGCTTCGCTTCGCCGCCTGTGTCGAGCCAGCAAGCAGCACCGATCGAGACCCCAACCACGCGTTCGAAGAGTGCAGAGCGTGCAGGTCCGCCACCGAGAGCTCCGACGCCACCTGCAGAGTCTAGGCCGAGCGTCCAAGCCTCGGCGCCGCCAGCGCAGTCAGTTCCCGACAAGGAGAGTCCGATCCATCCCTTCGCAAATGTTCGAGACACGACCTATGCACCACCGACGACCCGAAACTTCGGAGCAGCGCCTACGAAGTTTAAGAACCGGGACGGCTCGTATACGAATCTTGCACCTGTAGTTCAGGCCCAGCTGGCCGAGTCCGTCTTCAAGCGCTCCATGAGCACGCCAACGGTCCCGCTGACCATCGAGGAGTTGCTGAGCATCTCGCCCGAGCTTCGGAACCGCTATCGCGAAGCTGTGACGCCCCGAAGAGTGACGCACGACTCGAACCCAACCTCAACGAACATGGCTGCGTTCGAAGAACTTCCGACACACGACCCTGCGTTAGTAGACTGTCACGACAACGAGCTCGACCCAGACGCCACCATCATCCCGGACTCGTACGAGACGTACCTGAGGGTGTTGCCTCGAGGCGCGATACCTAGCGAACTCACCGTCGCGGCTGAGTCCCATTCGCTTCGAACGATCGACCTCACGATCGATCGTAAGGAGAAGGTAGCCTGCATTCTCGATCCCGGTTCTCAGGTCATCTGCATGTCGGAAGCACTGTGCTATCATCTCGGTTTATCGTTCGACCCGACCATCGTCCTCAGCATGCAATCCGCGAACGGCGGAGTTGACCGCTCGCTCGGCCTTGTTCGAAACGTACCATGTCAAGTCAGCCCGATCACCTTGTATCTCCAGATCCACGTCATCAAGCGCGCGTCGTACGACGTGCTGCTAGGTCGACCATTCGACGTCATCACTGAGAGCCTGGTGAAGAACTTCGCCGACGAGAATCAAACCATCACCCTGTTGTGCCCGAACACGTCCGAACAGATCACGGTACCTACGATGCCTCGAGGACGGCCGAAGTTCCAAGAGGTTTTTCAGAAGAGGCAGTCGGGACTTTTGAACACGTAGTTCAGGCCGACGATGACGAGCAAGTCGCACACGTGATCGACTTCGAAAACGATACCCCGTCCATTTCTGCCTATGCCAACATATCATCTCTCGAAGACCCAGTTCTCGCAGCTACGTATCTCTCCGTTCCACATACCTATTCCAGTTTTGTTTTCAACGAAGTCAGGACAGCCACCGAGGCTACGAGATCGACTCAGCATACCCCGTCATACGCTCGAACCTTCGAACACGCAGCATCTTCGACCACTTCTCCGAACACATTCTCTCGTTCGACCGACTACCTACGTATACCCGCACCGGCCATACCCACGACAGTACCGACTCGTCCGAGGATGCTCCTGATGTGTCCACATTCGCACAGGCAAAATCGAAGAAGAAGTACAAGCCGGTCGCACTCAAGACGAGACCTGTTCTCGGGTCCGTCCCCGAACAGTTTCGTATCGTTCGCGACATCAAGGAGATCCGCTCTCTACGATGCGTGAACTCAACCCCAACCCACCTCCTTTCAAGCCCGAAGGTCGCTACACGGCCGAAAGGGCAGCTGTCTCGGATAAGCTGCACGACGATGATCTGTTACAACCCGCCGAACGCGATCTACTTCACCACTTCATGGCTACGAACAACGACGCGTTCGCTTGGTCAGACAACGAACGTGGCAACTTCAAGTCCGATATTTCCCACCTATAGACTTTCCTGTGATCCCGCATACGCCTGGGTCCAGAAGAACATCCCTATCCCTCCTGGTCTGTACAAGGAGGTCTGCTCGATGATTCGTCGCAAGATTGACTCCGGAGTCTACGAACCTTCGAACTCGTCGTACCGTTCGCGATGGTTTTGTGTTGTTAAAAGGATGGCAAGTCCTTACGGATTGTTCACAGTCTCGAGCCTCTCAACGCAGTCACGATCCAACACTCTGGTGTCCCACCGACTCCCGAACATCTCGCCGAACAGTTCGGAGGACGAACGTGCGGAGGGATGCTAGACCTCTATGTCGGCTACGACGAACGCTATATCGCCGAAAGTTCGAGAGATCTCACTACGTTCCAGACACCGTACGGAGCCATGCGACTTACTACGCTTCCTATGGGGTGGACAAATGCAGTACCCATCTTCCACGACGACGTAACCTATATACTTCAGCCCGAAACTCCCGAACACACTGTACCCTACATCGACGACGTTCCGCTCAAAGGTCCGGCTAGCGACTACGGTGGCGAAGTCATCCCGCGGAATCCTGGTATTCGAAGGTTCGTCTGGGAACACTTCCAGAACCTTAATCGGATCGTCACTCGAATGCGCTACGCTGGTGGAACGTTTTCGGGAGTTAAGAGTGTGCTGATAGCTCGAGAAATCATGGTCATTGGCCACCGCTGCACGCCTCAGGGACGCCTACCTGACGAATCTCGAGTTGCGACCATCCGAAACTGGGGCGCCTGTCAGACCTTGTCCGATGTTCGAGCGTTTCTCGGCACGATCGGAGTGTGCAGGATATTTATCAAGAACTTCGCGCACCGCGCCGACGCTCTGGTTCGGCTAACAAGGAAGGATATGCCCTTCGAATGGGGCCCCGCACAACAGCAGGCTCAGGACGACTTGAAGCAGGCCTTGCTCGAAAGCCCAGCGCTTCGTTCGATCAATTACGACTCGACGGCACCTGTTATCTGGCCGTCGACACGTCCTTCATTGCAGTCGGATTCCTCCTATGCCAGTGCGACGAGGAGGACGCCAAGCGCAGGTACTACAGCCGATTCGGGTCAATCACGCTGAACGACCGTGAACGTCGATTCTCGCAACCAAAGCTTGAAATCTATGGACTGTTCCGCGCTCTTCGAGCGCTTCGAATGTATGTCATCGGGATTCGAAACCTAATCGTGGAAGTCGACGCTCGCTACATCAAGGGCATGCTCGCTAATCCTGACATCGCACCGAGCGCGAGCATTAATCGCTGGATTGTCTCAATTCTCACGTTTCACTTCACTCTCGTGCATGTGCCCGGGACTTCGCACGGACCGGATGGACTGTCCCGAAGAACGACGCAACCCGGCGATGACC